CGGTTTATCAATGTCGAGTTAAATCTGTTAGATACGCAACTCATGGATAAACTTGCCTAACAGATAACCTCAGTGAACCGTTTATCCAGCAACTTTCTACCCGACAGGCAGCAACCTACGAGATAGAACATAGATGGTACCCCTGAGTGTTAACATTAGAAACGGAAATGAAACGTAATTGGTGAAATTTGAATAATTGACTTTAGTTTGTGAAGTTGATATAAACAGCTGATCGTGTTTTGGAGGTTATCATTCCCGTGTGCTTTCGGTATTGTGCTTTGTTTTCGAAAACCTCTTTTATAATGGAATTCCTACATGAATATTTATTAGACAGCGATAAAGATGAGGATATTGTCCAACTCTTAAATTATAAACGACGACCATATATTATAAAAGAAAGACAAAAGTCAAAACCACTTTGAGGAGTTGGACGACCACGTTTTTTTGTTAGATTTCGGTTAAAAAAGGACACAGTTTTGTCAATCTTGGTTACAATTAAGACGAGATTATACTATATTAGATTATAGATTATATTATTATTTTTTTTTAATTACTAGATTATTATTTATTTTCTATAACATTTTTATATTCGTTTGCCAAATCCATGAGCAAGTTCTTTTCTGCTGTACTAAAATTTGATGATCTTTTCTTTCTCTTGCTTATCCACATTTTTTTGACAATATCTAATAGGTAAACCCTTAACCAGTACTTCAATCTGGTGGGTATCCAAATGTCATATTTATCTATAAGATTACCCTAAATTACGGGTGGATAAACGATTCGTCAACGTTATCTATCAGCTACAATTTTAATTGACAGATAAATCGTCTTAACTAGATATTGATAAACCGGCCCTTAAACAAATATAATTTACCATGTAGTAATGTTATTAATCCTCCAAAAATAAATAAGAAATGCACCAAAAGATATGAAGGTTGATACTTCCAAACATGTTCGATTGGTGTTAATTGAAAAAACCAATCCAACGGCTAAAACAAAATTTATATATTAATAAATAATGATTAATAATAATAAATTTAAACATATGGTGTCAAAATTACCCCTTCGAAGTTGATGTTATCATAATTTTTTCCAAAAGCAAAAAGATCTTGATCTTTAACCATTTTACTGAAACAAAATTATTTTGAAAACGCCAATTTTATACTGAATTTAGTTATGATGTCGTGATGATGTGTACTAAGCGTATTGCCACATGTTCTTGACCTTATACTAATATAATCTAATCAGTAGGTAAGAAAAATGTGGGAAAAAATGATGTGTATTTAAATAAACATATTTGTATGCCTAAAAGATAAAAAGAGTCTGGTTGGTTTTTATAACATTTGTTATCAAACAGGTGTTCAAATAATGCGATAATTACGATATTGTAGATTAACGATAGGTATATTTCAAATTTATTTACTACGTTTGATTTCGTTTTCAATTTTATAAACAAATCCAATTATAATGAAATTAAAATGGCCTTATCCAGAGGCGTACCCAGGAGTTATGCTCTTATTAAAACATAAAAATTACGCACCTATATTGGAGAAATAAAAAAAACAGAACTTTAGGCTGCATCAAAAAAGAAAAAGGGAAAGCAGTCAGCATCTAAGGAAATATCTGGTACTGGTGATGTGTGTTTTTTAGACCTCAACCTAGATGCTATATCAGAACAGACTATTTCTGAATCCAATTACAGGAAACGAGAACCCACCGACTATATGGAATAAAATTACGTCAAGCATAACTGAAAGTGCAAAAGAAGCATTAAAAACCAGGAAGGTGAAGATAAATGGGAAAAAGAACAATAAACCTTGTTTCACATAATACGTAAAGACATTGGCTAAACAGAAGAGAGAGGCCTTACTACAACATAAACACGCAGGAATTACGGACGAGTACTGGATGTCTCAAATTCGTTGTCCATGGTGATCCCTCTATAATTGCACACCACCCTCCACATGTCTCTCCTCTGCATACGTCGTTTATTACCTTCCATAGCTTCTTCTTTACTGTTTCTGTCGCCTCCAACCATGCTTCAGTGTTATCTCCTCTCCCCATTGCACCCCTCACCCTCCCTCTCCAATTCTTCTTTCTTCCAACCCTCCCAACATTTCCATGAAGTAAGTTCTCCATTCCGTCATTTGTATATCTCTGCTGACCTCCTCTCTTCCCTTCCACATCCTTTTTAAGTATCTCTATACATCATTTGCTCTTTCAACACCCTAATCTTCTCAGTCTCCCTCTTCTTTTTCTTGCATTCTTCTTTGTATTTTCTCCTGGCCTCTATATATTTATCTATCCCTACTTCCCCTCTCTCCCACTGTCTCAATCTCTTCTAGCTTCTGTCTTCACCTCTCTGCATTCTCTATTCCGCCATTCGTTCCTTCTCAGTCTAAGCCCCCGTCGCCCACTCTCTTCTTTCAACGTCGCCTCCCTAACCACCTCAAACAGTTCATTCAACCCGTCGACCCCCTCCACCCTCTGACCAGAGGTTGCCAACTTTTCCCTATAATGTTCTATCCCTTATCTCGACCAATCTGCCCTAATATGTTTCCCTTTATGTTATTATTATTATCTTTCTGTTCCCTCTTCCCCCCAGCTCTCTTTATGCACACTCCCATGGTCAGTTTTGTTTTAAAATGCTAATTATAGCGTGAAGGAATGTTAGGATAGGTCAGTTCTGTTTTGAAACCCTAATTATAGCGTGAAAGAATGTCGGTTGTCTTTTGATCCCCGATTACAGCGTGAAGGAATGTCGGTTTTCTTTTGTACCCCAATTATAGCGTGAAGAAACTCCAATTATAGCGTGAAGGAATGTTAGGATAGGTCAGTTTTGTTTTGAAACCCTAATTATAGCGTGAAGGAATGTCGGTTTTCTTTTGTACCCCAATTATAGCGTGAAGAAACTCCAATTATAGTGTGAAGAATGTTAGGATAGGTCAGTTCTGTTTTGAAACCCTAATTATAGCGTGAAGAAATGTCGGTTTTCTTTTGAACCCTAATCATACCGTGAAGAAACCGCAATTATAGCATGAAGGAATGTTAGGATAGGTCAGTTCTGTTTTTAAACCCTAATTATAGCGTGAAGGAATGTCGGTTTTCTTTTGTACCCCAATTATAGCGTGAAGAAACTCCAATTATAGCGTGAAGGAATATCGGTTTTCTTTTGAACCCCAATTATAGCGTGAAGGAATGTCGGTTTTCTTTTGAACCCTAATCATACCGTGAAGAAACCGCAATTATAGCGTGAAGAAATGTTAAGATTGGTCAGTTTTGTTTTGAAACACCAATTATAGCGTGAAGAAATGTCGGTTTTCTTTTGAACCCAATTATAGCGTGAAGGAATGTCGGTTGTTTTTGTACCCCAATTATAGCGTGAAGAAATTCCAATTATAGCGTGAAAGAATGTTAGGATAGGTCAGTTTTGTTTTGAAACTCTAATTATAGCGTGAAGGAATGTCGGTTTCCTTTTGATCCCCTATTACAGCGTGAAGGAATGTCGGCTTTCTTTTGTACCCCAATTATAGCGTGAAGAAACTCCAATTATAGCGTGAAGGAATGTTAGGATAGGTCAGTTTTGTTTTGAAACCCTAATTATAGCGTGAAGGAATGTCGGTTTTCTTTTGATCCCCGACTACAGCGTGAAGGAATGTCGGTTTTCTTTTGTACCCCAATTATAGCGTGAAGAAACTCCAATTATAGTGTGAAAGAATGTTAGGGTAGGTCAGTTTTGTTTTGAAAAGAGTGTCAACGAAGAGGTTACAACAATCAATTCCGTAACTTACTAGGCAACGGGATAACAGAGAAAACATACAAGAAAAACAAGAACAGATGTCCTCAACGAAGTCAAGGGTGGATATGTCGCATTTTAGCGATGATACTCCAGGTTCATTGTGTGATGATTATAAGGAATGAAATCTTATGTAGATAACAGAAATTCCACAATGATGTATATTTATTCAGAAGTTATGTACAACATTTGTTTCGCTTTTTTAGAGCGTCTTTAGGTACAACGTAAAAAAAAATGACATTTTGCAATTTAACACGTCTTCAGCCTTTTTCTTTTTGAGTGGGATATCTGCGGTTTTTAAATCGTTCGAGGTTCCGATCACTTTTTGTTATTTTTCGTTCTCAATCCTTTTCCACATGATGCATACAATCCTTTGATCATTTCTCGTTGATTGACGTTATACCTGAAGACGCTCTAAAAAAGCGAAACAATTGTTGTACATAACTTCTGAATAAATATACATCATTGTGGTGTTTCTGTTATCTACATAGGATATGTCGCAGGCAATTGGTTATTTCAGGTAGATAGCTTTTTCCCAGTCAGATACTGTCTGCCTAGGCAAACAGTAGTTCGTTACAGTTTTATCATTAAATTTTTGGGCAAATACTTTTGGACAAGACAAATAGTATCTGTCTAAGCTTGTTTTAGGCAAATACCATTTTTTCGATACAACAATGCAATATAGAGTAACTGTTCACAATAAAATAAAGTTGTAGAGATTATTAAGATAAGTAGCATACAGAATGCTTGTGCTTTAATTTACGTTAGCCAGAGATAATTTTTAAAAGATTTACTCGATATATGTATTTGTTATGTTATTGATAATAAAATTTATCTGTACACAATTTGTTATTGTGTTATGATATGAGTACTCGTAATTGTATAATATAAAAATGTATTTTAAAGGTTAATCCATGTTAATCATATGCAATTAAATACTTTGCATTCTGATATTTGCCTGAAAATATTTTAGCCATATGCTATTTGCCTAGGAAGGTAGAATTTAGACTGCAATAAATGGAATAAAACTATTTGCCTAGGCAGATAGTATCTGACTAGGAAAAAGTTATTTGCCTGAAATAATCATTTGCTTGCGACAGATACACCATGGGACAAAAACCCTTGAAAATTTCATGTTATGTAGATGATGCCTTTTTGACTGAGTCTGCACTGTAGGTGGGTGTTGATATCTCTAGCTGCAGAAATGTACACCGAGAAGTTAGGGCACAACATCTAAGAGATATCGTATGTTGGAAAAAATGTAGTCCATGGAGAGCAAAGTCCGTATTTACAAACCGGCAATTTAAGTACATAGTAATTCTATGTACTTCGGGACCTCTCTCGCCCTATGTTCTATCCTATACTTAATAAAACGCATTATATCCTCGTCCCTCATCATGCTATCCAGCTCGTGGTTCATCCTAATTCTCCAACCACCGTTTTCCTCCTGGGTAGTCTCAAACAGTCCCAGCGTGGTCTCTTCTTCTTGCGTCATCGGTTACTACAGGTCTTTAGCGTTTTATGTATTCTAAAGTTCATTTTTCTGCTGAGGATTTTTGACCATAGGAGATTTTTCTTGGTATAGTAGTGGTTATCTTTGAAATCGAATAACATTTCTGAAATAACATCGAAAAATAATATAAACCGTTTTGACTTTAATCACCATCCCAAAGATGACGGCCACTGTGGAACGATCGTTGTGTAATAAATGATTCGAAGAGTAATGATCTGGTTGAGAAGCACTATAGGAGAAGAAAGTTTTAGATAAGTTTGATACAAATCCAAGGTGTTGTTGTTACCATAAAAATTTTACTCCTTATGTTGAATGTAATAACTGATAAAAAAGAATATACCCTTGGCGTTATCAATTTAAATATTTATTTATTTATTCCATCCTGTTCATATTTTTTATCGATTAGTCTCAATAAGACATCTGCTTTTACCAAAGAAACGTTTTTGGGTATGAATTGAATGTCTTAATATGAATAACTATAGTTTTGATATTTATGAAGACTTTATAGTAATTTCGAGGTAATTTTTTTGTGGGTTCCTATTTTTTTTTTTTTGATAAAATTATTATCACAAAATGTGGTTTATTAAATTTAATAATTACTTCCTTTATAACCGATAATAACAAGATTTAAATTCAAAAACAGTTTCGTTTTCTATGCAAACAGATGTAAATTTAAATTAATATGTCTTCTTTTAGATCAAGCATTTCTATTCCAAAACGATGGAGCGAAGATGGTGTTCTTCAAATTATAAATTCTTTCCCGGAATTATACAACGGGGAAATCGGGTTATTCAACATTACGGCCGTACAAGTATGCTTTCATTAAAATATTTATTTGTATTAATTTAAAATTTGTCTTACATAGCTTTTATGTGCTTTTGCAACCGAAAACGAAATTCCATCAAATCTAAAATATAGATTATCGAAAAATAATCACATAAATCTGCAAGATTATCTCGGCCGTACTCCACTACTTTACGCCGTTTTGAACGGAAACGTGAAATTAGTTGAGCTATTATTAACCCACGGCGCTAACGTTGAATGCAAACTCACTTGCGAAAGAGAAAAAATTGTTGGGGAAAAAAAATCGAGTGTTGGTGATGTTCAAAAATACAAAGAATTGTTACAAATGGTTAAATACAATATTCAAAGAAAATGTTTTATGTAACTTTTTGTTTTAGTTGCCTTTGTTTGATCTGTTGGGCGTTTCAAGTCAAAGAACTCCTTTACATATCGCCGTGAAGAAAGGACATGTTGAAATCGTAAAATTGTTGGTTTTTAAAGGGGCGGACGTAAACTGTATTGATTCCAATGGTTTAACTCCTCTTTTACTGGCAGGATGTAATTCTTTGGATGTATATGAAGAAATAACGAGAATACTTGTTTCCTATGGTGCTGATGTTACAAAAACTGATTCAACAGGTAATGTTATGTTTTTGATTTAATACAACCGATTTTGATATTTTCCCACAAATCATACATTCCCCACTTTAATCAAAGCTGAGGGTGAAGCTGCACTTGACGCAGCAATATGATGATCGATTATGGTTCAATGATCAGTTTCGTAGTTATTCGTTGATGCAATTAAAATTCGGTATTTTTTATTGAAATCCAAACTTCCGTCACTTCCATGTTGCCAAATTTCTTCCCTTCATTCTCTTTTCCTCTCTATTCTTTGAGTTTTTTTATAAAAGTTGTTATTTTACCATTAACTTTAAAAGGTGAATAATTAAATACCAAGGCGGCAAAATTTTGAAGGAATTAAGAAGCATAAACCCAATTTCATCCATTTGCTCCTGATAGGACGACATAACATTTATAACTAAAGTTACCATGTACCATTTCAAGGCGCTACTTCTGGTTTGGGAGGAAAATTTATAGAACTGTTAGGTGTTATTGGTTCACCTGGAACTTCGTTACGTTACTCTGTAATACTCCATACAGATGATCATATGGTAGATCATGGTAGAGAAAACGAGAGCGTTACCTTCTTTTTTCTGATATCAAAATGGGAAAATATATTCAGACCAGTTGACACGCTACACTTAATTGATTTTGATCATACTCAAAAATGCTTTGTTTTGATATAAATTTGCTATTTCTGCTTGTTGTTATCCATAACGACTTTTTAGAAAGACCGATTTAAGATGTCGACATAGTTAAGAATCATATTTTGTGTAACGGCCAAGTTGAACGCTTCTTGAAGATTTTTTTAAATGATTTATATGTTCTTCAGGTATGTCCTACTTTTCTGATAAATTTTTTTTGTAACCGGATTCTAGGAAGTAGTACACGATCTTGTCAAATCTACCATGTTGTACCAAGCAATACAAATATTGCATTAGGCTACGATTTTTATTTTGCGCCGTGCAGTTATCAGAAAAAAATATATAACACTTTCACAGCTTTGTCTAATGTGTTTTCAGTGTAATGTGGTAAAAGATTGATAGTTTCATTTGGGGTTTTTCTACCAGTCACTTCATCATAGCAGACTTATTCAACTTTGCAGAATGTATGCAGAAGTTATACTTAAGATGGAACTTTAGGAAGCTGAGCATTTTGCTGGAAGTCTAAGCAAAGAGTGTCCACTCATAGATCTTCACCAGCAATAAATATTTTTTGCGAGATATTGTCAAAAAATGTCTTTACTTTGCTTATTGTTAGATATAATTGGTGCATGTTTTTCTACTTCATTCAATTTTGCGTCTGTACTAAGTGACTTCCTCTTATTCTCCAAAGTATTGCAAACCTGGCAAGTGTCGGACCTTGGATGACCAAAGTGATAGTTTGCAAAATTTGCTTTAAAATACCTATAATAAAAGTCGTAGGTAACGCGTAGTTTAAAATCAGGTAATCGATCTCGATTTTCCTTATACATATTTGGTGCAAATTTTGCCAAATATAATGTATAAAGTGTGTGAATATTTAGTTCAGGTGAGATGTAGTATTTTCCATTGTTTCCGTTGTTTTTGGAGAATATGCAATGGTTTCTACTCGTTTTGAAGACACACCATGAAAGGTACAGAAACCCTTTTTACAAACGTCAAAAACGTCTTGGCCAAGACGAATCTAAAAATTAATGATAATGTTCTAAAAAGATTGGTTTAAAATACCAATACTGCTTCGTTGGTCTGTATGGCTGTCCAGGGTATTCGAAGCATTTCTTTATGCAACCTCGTCTAGAATGCTTCCAGGCTATTGATTGTGGCAGCCTATAGAGTCCAAATCTCAGCTGCATATAACAACACCGACCAAACATCTTGATGATTCTTCTATGTTTAAGTTATCGTCACAGAAGAATGATTTCATTCTCAAAAAGTTGTGCTAACTGTATCGATTCTGCACTTAATCTAGATTATCTGGATCTAATTGTTTCGTGATGTGGAAGCCAAAATGTATGAATTAGGCAACTCTCTCAATGTTTTGTTGGTCTATCTGTCATCAAGGGGTTATTATTATCACCAGCGACTAAATTAAAATTAAGTTAAAATTTGACAATAAATACATGAAAAGGTAATTAATAACTAATTAGTGTCTAATTGTCAACTAAGTTGTTTTTGTCAAATTCGGGTGGAGAAGGGTTCGTTGAGTTCACTAGCATCTTCCATGTGCGGCTGAGTTCCCAACCATCTTTTCTATTCATGTTATTCCCATGTCGATGAATCTCTATCGCCTCTCTCGTCAATCTTTGGAAGTAATGTCCGTTTCTTGCTAGCACTTTGGTTGTGTCGAACTCTATGCTGTGTCCTCCTTTGTGGCAATGCTCTGCAACTGCAGATTGTTGGATCTTTCTGACGAATCGACGTCAATGTCATTTCTGGTTATTCTTTGCCTTAACTAATCTAATATCAAAGCTCCTTTACAAATATAAACAGCATTTTATTTGCACCTAACAACTTGGAATAGTTGATAAGATCAAAAATTGGACTTACCTCTCTCTTGCAGCAAGATCTTCTTCAACTGTCCGCCTTTACTTTCGTATCTTAAGTTGCGATGAAAACTCCAAATCCTGTAACAATTCTGAGGTTTACCAAACGTTGTATCAACTACATTATTTAAACTTACATCTTTTTTTCTGTCCGGCTGTTTTAACCCATCTCCTCAATCTCTAGGATGGTAATAATCAGTAGGGCACGGAACTTTTGTAACAAAACGATACGATTTCCCCCCTCCACTCGTTCTCAGCAGAAAATATCATGCGTTGTTCTAAATTAAATTCTAAAACGATTTTCTCAATAAAAAATATACATACAAAAATTTTTTTGAGGTTATGTTCTTAATTATTGATCAAATCAAAAATTTTTATTAACAATATTTGTTTAGAATTACTTCAGGAACAGTGTTTGTTAATACAATTTTTTGCTAACTTGAAATTTGTATTTCCCTTTGAATAGTATGGTATCAAAATTAATTATCTCAATAATTATTGTTTTTATCATAAAATGTTTTAAATAGAATTTGTTTCAATTTCGATTTTGAATCAATTATCTTAATAAAAAATGTTTACATCTCTATTCATTAAGCGTTTAAGTGTAATTATGTATAAAAATGGAGAAATTATTATTTTGAGGTTATCTCCTTAATTATTGATTAAATCAAAAAATTTTGTTAACAATATTTGTTTAGAATTACTTCAGGAACAGTGTTTGTTAATAAAATTTTTTGCTAACTTGAAATTTTAATTTCCCTCTGAATAGTATGCTATCAAAATTAATTATCTCAATAATTATTGTTTTTATTAAAAAATCTTTTAAATAAAATTTGTTTCAATTTCGATTTTGAATCAATTATCTTAATAAAAAAATTTTACATCTCTATTAATTAAGTGTCTAAGTATAATTATGTATAAAAATGGAAAAATTATTATTTTGAGATTATCTCCTTAATTATTGATTAAATCAAAAAATTTTGTTAACAATATTTTTTAAGAATTACATCAGGAACAGTGTTTATTAAAACTATTTTTTTCTAACTTGAAATTTTAATTTCCCACTGAACAGTATGGTGTTCTTTTAATCAAGATTTTCTCAGCGGCTGAGTACGAGTGGAGGGGGGAAATCGTTTTGTTACAAAAGTTCCGTGCCCTGATAATTAGGATCGATTTCCTATAACTGAAAATTTTGCTTATTTTTAAAACTAAATTTATTTACGTAATGAATTTTATAAAAATCTCTTTATTCTAGGTGCAACATCTTTATACCACGCCGTCCATTTAGGAAGTTATGAGATGACGAAACTTTTATTAAAACAAGGCGCTTGGTTAACAAACACAACAAATGGAGAGAATGAATTGCACGTCGCAGCCTTAAAAGGATTCACACGTATTTTGAATACATTTTTAGAAGATTCCAGATTTACAATTGACGATATTAACCGGGTTGATTCATATGGAAGAAGTCCATCGTATTTGGCTGCTTATGCGGATAGAAAAGATTGCTTTAAACTGCTTTTGAATAAAGGGGCCGATATGAGTTTATGCACGAAAAGTGGAGAGACGGTTAGCGATAAGTTCTTTAAGAATGTGTCGGATCCGATAAGATTTTTAACGAACATTTTTGATGATTGTGTCGAAAACGATCCTAATCACGGGATAAAGTTGAATTTTGCAATTTTAGCCCCGAAAGGTTGCCAACAAATGAAAATACTTCATAGTTATTTCAACGCGATCGAAGAACAAGAAAAATTACAATTGTTACATCATCCCTTATTGCAAGCTTATTTAAATTTAAAGTGGAGCCAAGCAAAGCCTTTTTTTTATTTTTTAATTATAAGTTATATCGTTTTCGTTTTGTCTTTATCAATTTATATTTTGATGCTTGTTAAAAAAGTTCCTTATGTCTTTATAGTATCGGTAGTGTCTAGATATATTTTGACCATTTCCGCAACGGGACTTTTAATTCATGCTATAATACAGGTAAAATATATTTTTAAATTCGTTATAATTAAATAATATTTGTTATGTAGGCTATAGTAATGATAAAGAATCTCTATAACAAATTCGAAATTTGGATGAATATAACATCAACGACAATCGCCCTTACCGTGATTGCTTTTGCTGAAAGTAATGATTTAAAAGAAATCGTTTCATCTCAAGAATGGGTTTTGCACAGCACCAGCGTCGCCGTTTTATTAGCTTGGACCGAATTAATGTTACTAATAGGAAGATTTCCAAATTTAGGTTATTACGCCTTAATGTTTGGAGCGGTTCTTTTAAACGTGATTAAAGTACTTTCGACGTTTATCAGCTTGGTTATTGGATTTGCTCTTTGTTTCTCAATCCAATTTTACAACGATGAAACATTCCAAAATGTATGGCTCTCGATGGTAAAAACGATGGTTATGATGATCGGCGAATTTGAGTATGTCGATTTATTTTCGACGGCGAATAATACATCCGGATTGCACGTCACATCGAGAATAATTTTTTTCTTATTTATCATCGTCGTTAGTATAGTTCTGATGAATTTAATGGTTGGATTGGCAGTAAGTGACATACAGGGTCTTCAACAAGAAAGCAGTGCGAGGCGATTGGAGAAACAAGCGGAATTTTTGTTACAATTGGAAACCGTTATTGATCGCGTGATAAAGTGGAAAATTTTTCCGAAATGTTTTGTTCGATTTTTGATAAAGAGTAAAAGTATTTCTTTGGATTTTACGGTCAAAACGGAATGGTATAATTATCATAGAAGGAAGAGTTTTAATTTGAAAGAGAAATTATCGCCTAAATTACTCGGTGAGATATCATTAATTTTGTTTTCTCTTTAATTAATTAATTTGTTTTAATTAGAAGCTATCGTAAGTATTGCAAGAAAGAACGGAAGACGAGAAGTAAAATTAAGTGAGAAACAAATGGGAGAAATTATAGAAAAAATTAAATTGTTATTAGATACTTATGAAGTTTAAAATAACTTTTTTTATAATAAATTTTGATTTTGAATTATATTAGCAATAAATTCATTTCTCCACTATTATCCATTAACCACTTCTCGATGATGCATTGCCAAAATTGTCTGTTGGAACATAACATACTGCAATGGTAGAGATCAAGAAATGGCAATAGAAATGAAGATTTCTGCTCAGAAATTATCACTGCCGGTCTCAAGCCCGGATAAAGGAGGAGAATAGGGCTATCAGTTAACAATCCATTCCCGTAAAACCTAATTGTCCAAAAACCTACCTAAAAAACCAAGCCTCGGATTAGATGGTCTTATCGACGAAGACTATGACGAACGAAAATGGATCATGAGATTGCAACATGAAATGTGAGGAGCAAGCCAGGAGCGCAAACAGGCCAGCATAATGAAATATAACTTAGCCATATACAAAAAAAATGGCTGGGTGGAAGACATCAGGGTGTAAAAAAACTCCTATGATAATGTACACCAGCAAACACCACCGAGCATACTGGACTTTGCAAATTAAGTATACATACAAGATTTTGCATTGTAAAAATCATAAAAGTACATAGCCCAACAGAAGATCAGAACCAGAGGTTAAAAGAGCTATTTTATCAACAACTAGAGCAAGTGTACAAAACCAACAAAGATGAAGAATATTCGTTTTATATACATAAAGTGCCATAAATCTCACCGGAGTATTACCAAAAACAAAATAGTCCATGTATTAATAGATAAAAGTTTAGGTGCAAAATTAATAGCAAAACACAACAAAAAAGACCCAAACTGGGTATTGAAAAACTGAAAACACCGGAAGCACAATGCAAATTCAAGGAGGAAATAAAAGTAAAGATAGAGGAACGTTCTAGCGGCGATAGAGGTTAAATGATTGATGATCAGTGGAATATTATTAAGACAACTATGGAAATTGAAAGAATTCAAGGAGAGACAGATTCAAAGAAGCAAATATGAAATATGGAGAGGAACTTTAAAGCTAATAACACAAGAAATGTGTATACATTTGTTAGACAGTTAGGGCACAAATGACACACAGCTCTATGCAGAGATGAAACAAAAAAAATAGTAGTGAAATAAATAACATTTGGAAAAATTAGTTAACTTAATGGGTTAAGTGTAGTTGGAAATGAACAATAGTCCACCACACCAAAGACATGAGAGTGCCAGGAATCATATATCCATCAATGAGGTTCAAAACGCCATTACTGCATTCAAAAACGGAAATACTGCACCGGAGTTTGATGGAATATCATCAGAACAACTCAAGGCGGATGACGAAAATCTAGTGAAAAACATTTATACATTAATGCAGAAGATCTGGGAAGAAGAACTACCACATAGAATGTTTACACATATCATTATTGTAGACTATAGACTACAATTTAGTGATAGTAGCGATTCTTTCTAGTGATTAACTAGAAAGTATTGGTCTGAGTTGTACGAGTGAGAGCAGTTTTTTCAGTATTGGTTTTTGTTAAGAAGTTATACTCAAGAAATCTATTAATGATTAACGTTTATATTTACTATAACGTTATGACGACGTTACGAGAATTTTCTGATCTAGTATGTGCCTCTTTCTTAGCTCCTTGAACTGCTTCTGATAGTTTATCGTAATTTCTAGTTTTAATTATTACTAGTAGATCCTTATTTTGCAATCCATGCGCAAATACGTTAATCGACATTTTCTCGTTAGCATCTTTCAAAAGTCAATTTTTTCAAATGGCAACCCTAACATGAGTTAATATTTGGATTTTATGAAAAATTTTGGATCAACTTTATGTAGAATGTCCTATGCCTAAAATGTTTGTTTACCATGTTAAAACAATTTTTAAGCGGAATCACAAGAAATATCGACACAAGAATAAGGGAAAAAATAAACAGTTTGACATTTGCTAAGGTTATGGTTTATTTCTGTTGGTGTGATGCCTAGATTACTTTTTGTAGTGACTTTTCGCAAACAGGCGCAAATATTTGGTTCCACTCTCCATAAATTATTATCAGATTCAAATAATCTTTATTACTAAATCCCAAACGTAGCATTGTTTTAAAGTCCCTAGATTTACAAAGTACCACGGTTTGACGCCATTTTGGCTCAAAAGTCAAGCGGGAAATTTAAAACTATGTCATTGTATTGATAACATTATGTCAAATTTCCTTTCTTTTTTTCTCGTGGTACTCTGAAGAGTCGAAAGTCCTTCTAACTGCCATTTTTGCAACTCCAAAGGTAACAAGACGGAAATATTTGTGACATAAGTGGTGAGATGCAATGACAAGCTGTCAAACCGCCATTTTGGCTCGAAAACAGACTTCATGAACCGCGGTACTTTATAAATCTAGGGACTTTACATTGTTTGAGAACAGACCGCCATCTTTTAAAAAAAAATTAATATCTGAAACATGACTCATCTTAGATATAGGGTATGTAAATAATTATATATATCTCAAACGTGCGGTGTGTATCTACCGCCCTCTACGAGCAATAACAAAACAAGTTTCAAATTCGTATTTCTCATGCTCGAAAACTTAAAACTACCAAATTTACAAAAAATATAATATACAATATAATATAAATAGTACAAAAAACTTCAAAATTATGAAGAAATTTCGAAATAAGAATTTAACTTTCAACACCCTGTGCCTCGAAAAGCACTGCCATTTGTATAAGAGATGTTAGGTTAAATCATCATATTGTGGTGTCTAGTATCTCCAGTATTCGGATTTCCCATTCTTTCTGACTCACCCTGTATATTATATAATAATTACTTTACTTTTATCAACAGATTCTGATTTTACAATAAAATATATAGGGTGCCATTTAAAAAATTGGTCGTGACCTTCATATTATAACCATGAAAATAAGGTCAAGGAATGTTATAGTCATATGGTTTCCCCCTTCGCACAGAACAACTTTCATTTGGTTCATTTTTATGTAAAATGAACCGTTTTCGAGATAATCGCTTGTCTCACGTTAAATAGACCAACCTGTATGTCAAAGTTGAACTAATAAATCGCCCTGTATAGTTCTAATGGACGGTGGTCGTCATGAGTATTCCTTCTCCTTGAAAATCTTGTTATTAAGACTTTTTAAACCTGCAAGCAAATCATTTACAAAAACTTTTCTAGCAGAAACAACTCTCCTATCGGGTCAAATCTTATCAGTGATATAATGCATGTTTTGTCATTCTTATACAGGTGTCTCAGCGAGACCGGTCATTAGACGTTTCTTGGGTTTTGGCGAAACTAAAAATTTGAGAATTCAGACTTAAGTATTATAAATTACGATCTCATCGACTAAAATATTTTCCGCTTTCTTACACTTCCGGTTATACCGGAAGTCGCCACCTACTTTATTTTTTTAAATGCAACACCCTGTATATTTTTACATATTTGGATTTGTCTGCTTTCAAGGTTTATAAATAATTTTACTTTTTGCAATTTGATTCGGCCGTTCTCGAGTTATTCGAATTTTTCTAGAAAAATCTGCTCCAGCAGACATTTGTTCAAAAAATCAGAGAACACTTGTTTACGTCACTTGATGCATGTGAGCTAATAATTATCTGTTAGGTCCCTTAATATTAGTACTGAAACGAGTTAAAATCGATAACAATAACGAAAGTAATATTTACACAAATCAAGAAATTCTTAATTAATTTTTTATGCATGAAAAGCGCGACAAAGTTCGTAGTATGATTCCCAGATCTTTTTTGGCAGCTCGAATTGAGGTGTTGGGACTGGGATCGAAATAAGCCAAGGTATTCACCTCTTCCGTTGCATTATCTACTACATTTTTTGGTCAGTTTAACACGTGATTAATTCGTCCAAAATGCAAAAAATTTGCTTCTATTCNCAAAAGATGGAATTTGAATTCAAAAATTTATCGTCAATTATACCTTACTGTATAATAATTACTTTACTTTTATCCACAGATTCAGATTTTACAATAAAATATATAGGGTGCCATTTAAAAAATTGGTCGTGACCTTCATATAACCTTGAAAATAAGGTCCAGGAATGTTATCGTCATATGGCTTCCCCTTTCGCACAGAACAACTTTCATTTGGTTCATTTTTATGTAAAATGAATCGTTTTCGAGATAATCGCTTGTCTCACGTTAAATGGACCAACCTGTATGTCAAAGTTGAGCTAATAAATCGCCCTGTATAGTTCTAATAGACGGTCGTCGTGGATGACCCTGTATTAGTATTCATTCTCCTTGAAAATCTTGTTATTAAGACTTTTTAAACCTGTAAGCAAATCATTTACAAAAACTTTTCTGGCAGAAACAACTCTCCTATCAGGTCAAACCTTATCAGTGATATAATGCATGTTTTGTCATTCTTATACAGGGTCATCCACGACGACAGTCCACTAGAACTTTACAGGGTTCTAGCCAATACAAAAATTTGAAAATTCAGATTTAAGTATTATTAATTGCGTTCTCTTCGACTAAAATATTTTCAGATTTCTAGCATTTCCGGTTATACCGGAAGTCGCCACCTACTTTATTTTTTTAAATGGAACACCCTATATATTTTTACATATTTGGATTTGTCTATTTTCAAGGTTTATGAATAACTTTACTTTTTGCAATTTGATTCGGCCGTTCTCGAGTTATTCGAATTTTTTTAGAAAAATCTGCTCCAGCAGACATTTGTTCAAAAAATCAGAAAACACTCGATTTTTGGGATATCAATTTAGGATTCAGAACATGCTTAAGCAACATGATGGAGTATGTTTTGGTGCCAAGTATGGCTATCTAGAACGTTTGGTCACTTTACTATGGCACGTTACCTTCTCGAAACTTGGAAGTATCATAACTTAATTTTTTTAAATGGCACTCCCCATATTTTATTACTTAGTCGTCTTCATGTGTCTCATTTTACATCTTTTATATCCTATATGTCCCATACCTAACATTAATAGTTTGGGAGATAATTAGGGTTTTTTGAAAAATGCACACATATCATATGGATATATGGAAGTGAGGAACCACGATAACAATGTGGTTCCTCACACCACACTAAAAACGACCGGTATTTTCCATCCACTTTGGTCTCCATAGCGACGGAATGTTCCACTTGGAAGGGCGGCTCAGTCGACAATGCCGCGACGGAACAACTCGAAACTCCCTGAATAAACTCGTCTACAGTAAACCTTTGTCCTCCGCAAATATTATGGATTTATCATCACGCGTTCAGATTATATAGGGTGTGCTCGTGAATTATTTCCAACAGTGTAATAATTACTTTACTTTTATCCACAGATTCAGATTTTACAATAAAATATATAGGGTGCCATTTAAAAAATTGGTCGTGACCTTCATATAACCGTGAAAATAAGGTCAAGGTCAAAAAATGTATATGGTTTCCCCCTTCGCACAGAACAACTTTCATTTGGTTCATTTTTATGTAAAATGAATCATTTTCGAGATAATCACTTNATATGTGAGCATTTTTCAAAAAACCCTAATTATTTCTCAAACTATTAATGTTAGGCATAGGACATATGGAGTATAAAAGATGTAAAATGAAACGCCGAAGACTACTAAGTAATAAAATATGGGGGGTGCCATTTAAAAAAATGAAGTTATGGTGCTTCCAAATTTCGAAAAGTTAACGTGTCATAGTAAAGTGACCAAACGATCTAGACAGCTGTTATCGGCACCAAAACATACTCCATCATGTTCTGAATGCTATATTTTTATCTCAAAAATCGAAAGTTCTATGATTTTTTGAACAAATGTCCGCTGGAGGTGGCAACTTCCGGTATAACCGGAAGTGCTCGAAATCTGAAAATATTTTAGGCGAAGAGAACGTAATTAATAATACTTAAGTTTGAATTCTCAAATTTTTATTTTGGCCAGAACCCCAGAAACGTCTAAAATCTTGTTATTGGATTGTTTGAGTTCCTATCATATTTTTCATCTGGGGAATGTTCTATAAAAGAATACATATATTATTTTTCAATGAAATCATCTAAAATAATTCACCTTCAACAACAAAAATATTACTTTCTCCTTAAATTCTTCTAAAACATTGTAATCAGCTCATCTGGTGATCTATATATAGAATAAATATATTAAAATTACATATTATGTTACATAAAATATACAATACCTGGTACTTTCATAATAACTTACACACCATTAACAATTTACATAAATTATCCTTAATAAATTCATTATTTCCTCACGTTATTGTTTAATGCAATTAATTTGGTATGTTCACAATAAAAAAATCCATTGAGGTTAATAAAGATAATTTTAAAACAGTGTAAATTGTACTCTTTAAAATGAGTTCACTCCATTTTCTTTTCAAATATCGAAAATTAACTCAAAGTCCACAATAACACCAAAAAATTTGATTTGTTCAAATTATAATAAAACAAAAATACCCTGTATTAGTATTCATTCTCCTTGAAAATCTTATTATTAAGACTTTTTAAACCTGTAAGCAAATCATTTACAAAAACTTTTCTGGCAGAAACAACTCTCCTATCAGGTCAAACCTTGTTAAAGCATCTTGTTATTGCATTGTTTGAGCTCCTATCATATTTTTCATCTGGGGAATGTTCTATAAAAGAATACATATATTATTTTTCAATTAAATCATCTAAAATAATTCACCTTCAACATCAAAAATATTACCTTCTCCTCAAATTCTTCTAAAACATTGTGATCAGCTCATCTGGTGATCTATACATAGAATAAATATATTAAAATTACATATTATGTTACATAAAATATGCAATACCTGGTACTTTCATAATAACTTACACGCCATTCACAATTTACATAAATTATCCTTTATAAATTCATTATTTTCTCATTTTATTGTTTAATGCAATTAATTTGGTGTGTTCATAAAAAAAACCCAAAGATAATTTAAAAAAAGTGTAAATTGTACTCTTTAAAATGAGTTCACTCCATTTTCTTTTCAAATATTGAAAATTAACTCAAAGTCCACAATAACACCAAAAAATTTGATTTGTTCAAATTATAATAAAATAAAAATATTAAAGCTGCAAATTACTACATTTACTTGAAGCAATAATATAAAATAGCTGGAAAAAATGAAGAGGAATTAACTGGATTGGATTTGTTGATGATGCCTAGAAATACACAAAAGAAAAACAAAATAGAGAAAGAAAAATAAACGAATTTTTTAATGGCTGTTACAAACGTTATTAAATAAACACATTATTTTTAATGAGAAACTGTTTTTTTTTTAGTTTATAATACAAAAACCTAGCATATTCATCCTTACAGAGACGTACTTACTAAAATTTACTAACATTTCATCTTTATAACGGAACTAATTCAGGAAACTCTCAACATACAAAAAGTGCTTGCTGTTACATTTCGTTGCTGTTAAAGTTTCAAGATTAGCAAAGATCCTTTTGAATACATGCAGCAACTTTAAATTTTAATTTTTTCATTAAGAGTAACGTACAAATAAATTAAAAGAAATCGTCCTGATTTAATTCGAAACAAAGAATAAAAGAAAAACCTTATTAGGTTTTAATTTTACCTTTTTTTTGTTAAACGGCAATTTAGAAAAAAAAAAAAAAAGGAACGGGCCCCACAACTTTTGTCTTAATGTTACGTCTATTTTATACATGTAGCGACGATCTTAAAATTATAACACTTAAAAGTAGCAACCGCCAGTCTGTTGTTGGAAAACTTCAATTGTATCGCCTTCCTCCATATCCAAGGAATGCGGTGTATCTGTTTCGTTTATTGGGTTTCCATCAAATCGAAAACGTACCACTTGCATACTCAAACCCTAAACGTACTCGTTTATATAAAAATAATTTAAAACAAATTAATTCTTACCGCTCGGTCACAATAAGCACTCATTAACTTCCGAAGGGGTGTCTGCCTTTTGATCTTAAACTGCACGACCGCATTGTCTTGTCCGACGACTTTAAGATTGATGTGTTCAGATTCGGGCTTAAAAAAGAAATTTATTTAAGATTTGAAAAATGCCCAACATAACAAGTGTTGACATTTGTGGTTAGAAAAACACGGTTCAACTTCATACCTTTTTTTCATCGCTCATGGTGATTTTTCGGGTTCTACTGCAACGTTAAACGGTACCTTAAAACGTCTCGAAGACAATTCCTCCTAATTGAAACACTCGTTTCGGCGTAAATTCACGTTTAACACGTTTTGATACGAGCGCTGAACAGATAGGACAAATGGCCGGCTTAGAAATGCTAAGCGGGTACGCGCTACCAATTGTACCGGAAGACAAGATGGCCGACTTCCGTCTAACCGTTTTTATTTAAATTTTTGAATTTTCAATTTTAATTTTATCCGCTTTAAAACGACTTTAATAAAAAGGATTAGATTTGTGATTAAAAACGAATTTAATTTAATTAAATTAAACGATATTAGTAATAATTAAAATGAAAAAAAATTTAGTCTTTTATCCCCGATATGATTTTAGGTTGGTACATCCCTTTTTGGAGGTTAATCTAAAATAACAAAATAACTTATTTTATTATCGAAATTAATTTTTTAATTTATTACAATTTCAATTTATATTTATTTCTTTAATTTATAATTAATTATTATTATTTTATTTATACAAAGAAAATTAGTTTTAAAAAACTTTTGTTACATTATGTTGGTAATTAATTAACCTCGAATGTCAAAATCGTCAAAATACATGTTATATTTATTTAAGAATTATTTAAAAGATTATTAAAACCATACTTATTAAGGATTAACAACAAACAGAAATCTCATCATTTTAATTAAGGTATTATTTTTATTTAGATTGTATTTACCGTTAAATTAAAATTTTTTATTTTGAGGTTATGTCATATCTTTATAAAAACTTAATAACATTCAATAATTATTAGGATTCACCATGATAATCCCTGTACGATGTTTTACCTGCGGAAAAGTAATTGGAAATAAATGGGAAGCATATTTAGGTCTTCTCCAAGCTGAATACACTGAAGGTGATGCGTTAGATGCTTTGGGATTAAAAAGATATTGCTGTCGAAGGATGTTGCTGGGGCACGTTGATTTAATTGAAAAGCTTCTTAATTACGCCCCATTAGAAAAGTGATTTGATTAGGTTAAAAATGATTGTTGAATAAAAGTTATTTTAAGGATGTAATATGTATTTATTTTTTTAAAATTAATTCCTTGTACTTTACAGAGATATTTATAACAATTAATTTGGAATAATTCAAGAATTATCATGTTGCAAACTGTACTCAAGTAAGCAGTTACAAATTAAAAAAAAAAATGCGGGAAAGTGTAAAACTTGACGAAAAATCACTTTTAAAGTTTCGAAGTGACGTCATCGACCCTGCTAACTTATATATTTTCGCAGCATATTGGTTAAAAAGCATATTTTCGACGCATAACGACTAAAATGTCGTTGTTTACCATCTATAAACTAAGGATAACCTAAAATCTATCCCCCTCTTTAAACGTTACATTCGGATCCACCTAATTTACTGATATATTTCAGAATTTTGTGTAGAAATTAACCCTCCAGTACTAACATCGATCTAACAGACCGACTTTTCATTACTATACTAGAATAATGACGAATCCGACATTGCTGTTAAAGACTATCTTAATTTTACTTAATTACCAATCAATTTTCTTGATTTATAATGTGTAATACTTAAGCAAAGAAGAATAGGCTTAAAATGAATCGCCTACGTTTGAACACGTTCGAACACGAATGTTGCGTAGCCGACTTAATGGCGCTAAAAACTAAATACATAAGTTCGTCGTAGTTTAATATACAGGGTGATTCAAAAAATCGCTGACAGACTTCTAGAGTAGATAATACATGAAAAATTGTCGTAAATACCTCGTTGGCGTGATATAGCGGGTCAAAGTTTCTTTACAATTAAAGATTATCTGCCATAAAAAGCACTTTTTAAAAAATATTGTCTACGCCATTGCTCTCTACGCGTGTAATGTGATCAAGTATCTATCAATTGGTCACTTACAAAACTTTGATCGAAGCAATAGTTTTTAAGAAAAACACGTTTGTAGAAAATTTGTTAATTTAATCAAAAACTGTTGCTGTAATCAACGATTTGTAAGAGACCAATTGATAAAATCGTTTGGCAAAATTAGCAGTGGAGTTGAAAATATTTTTAAAAAAGGGCTTTTTTATTGCAGATAATGTTTAATTTTAAAGAAACTTTGACCCGCTATATCTCGTTAAGGAGGCATTTGCGACCTTTTCATCTTAATTTTTGATATATTACCTGCCCTAGAAGTCTATCAGCGGTTTTTTGAATCACCTTGTATACCCCTTTTTGATAATTGCGTTATATTTTGATAAAACGTTTATGTACCTAATAATAGTAAATTATAGTTTGTTAGAGATGAGTTATGAAAAAGATCAGGAATGATTGAGGAGAATTTGGGCACAATTAGAAGAGGAGGAAAATGATAGTGTTCATCTTGATCATGATGATTCTATGAGTGTCTTGTACAATCAATAGTGAACAGTGTGAGAAACATCACTATAGATAACTGGTTCACTAGTATACCATTGTGTGAAAGCCTGCTGATGTTTGGATTTGCAGAAAATTTTACATTAGTGTCGTACGTTTCAAAAAAAGGAAAAAATGTTCTGCTCGTATCCACTATGCATGACGACGATAGCATAGAGGAAATTACAACCCTGAGATAATTATGTTGTACAATAAAACGAAGGGTGTATTGACACAGTCGACCAATTATGTGCCAAATATAACTGTGCCAGAAACAGAAGAAAGTTGTTAGCCTATGGTAATTTTTATCGTGTATTGAACATCGCATAGCTGCTATAAACGTTTTTTTCTGTGTTCAATTCAAAAATCCTTGTTTCAAATATGCTTCGAAGAGTTTTTCTAGAAAAACTTTCGTTTGATTTGGTAACAGATCATCTGAAGAGGCGTCTAACAACTCAATAAGTGCCATATTTAACTCGAATGCGCATAAAATAAATTTGTTACCTATAGTAAAAAAATTATGCTAACCTCAAAAATTGTATAGCTTATTGTTTAACTGGGCACATTCGCACTGTCCAATATACCTCGATTTGATTTATTTCATTATAAGTAGCTTTTAGCACTTATTTTTCTTCTAGAATGGTTCGCACATACATAAGAAAAACTGAAAGAGCCAGTATATCAGAAAATGCCATACAAAAACCAAAATGGAGATTCTGGAAATGATAACGATAATGATAAAAATACGTCTAAATATGCAGCAAGAAGTGTGTTTAGTGCTCGAGAAGAAAATGGACTAAAACAATATTTAATTCAGACTTCCAATATGCATTTTGGGTTAACATACCAAAACACTTGTGCTTTGGCCTACGAATACGCAGACAAGCTGGAAAAGAAACATTCTCCTTCGTGGGATGCAAACAAAATGGCAGGCGAAGACTTTTATGAAAAGAAACCAAGATTTATCCCACCGAAACCCTAAAAATACTAGCCTCGCAAGAGCGTTTTTTTACAATTATAGGAAACAAATGGAGAAATACAACTTCACGCCAGATCAGATTCTGAACTGTAATGAAACAGGAATAACAACTGTGCTATAGGCCCTTAAACTAATTACACAAAGCGGAAAGAAGCAGGTGGTTTCTGGGGAGCGTGGTGCATTAGTAACATTCTGCAGAATTATAGCGGCTTCTGGAATTTCCTTGCTTCCTATTTACATCTTTTCCTCGCTAAGAATAAAAGATGAATATCTGTATGGTGCAGCACCAGGTTCCGTGTGTTTTGGATCAAAGACTGGGTGGATGACTGTTGACATTTTTGTAAAGGTGTTGGAACATGCAGCAAAACAAGATGCAATGAGTGACTTGCCAGGTCCTTCTGGAATCCAAGCTACTACTGACATTATCAAGATGGTGACAAGTATTGTTGAAGAGTTGCTTGTAACCGTATTCAAAGAGAGAAAAAAGAATTACACGGTTGCTGATATTCGCCCTTTTCCAAGAGTACCCCCACGAAAGATTGTACGTAAATCCAGACAAGAAAGCTCCAAAATTTACACCGACACACCGGAAAAGGAATGAATTGAAGACATTGAAAGGGAGAAAATGATGAAACATGCTAAGAAAAATGCTACAAGACAAGTCTTTCCAACAAAAAGTAAGAAATCAGAAAAAAAGAAGGTGGTGCCAAAATTAAACACTGAAAAGAAATGACAAAAGAAAATTCAAGATGAAACATCTTCATCTGATTCAGATATCGGGGTTCTAAAAACAAAAAAAGGCAAATATTCTTCTGAATCATCACATCTAGACAATATGGACCTAGTAGATGAAGAAGCTGATGTGCCAGGCTTACTAGGGTTTGAAACAATAATTGAGATTGATAATTACATTTTGGTTAAGTTTCCTACAAAAAAAAGCATCAAATATTACATTGGCAAAGTCCTAGCTGTTGATGATCGATCTGATGAATATGAGGTTAGCTTTTTGAGAAAAAAAGGCAATACAGGTTTTGTTTTCCCGAATATCTTGGACGTGTCAGTAGTCCCTAGGTCTGATGTCATTTTGAAACTGCCACAACCTATCAAGTCAAGCACTACAAGAGTAAATGCAATAATTAAGTTTCCAATTAACTTAAGAGTTTGAATTTATTGTAGCTCGTTTCTTTTTTGTATTATAATTTTGGTCTCTTAGGTACCACACTGCCCGAATGTGCCACGGCACGAGGCACATTCGGACAAAGTGCATTTTTTTTTATAAATATTACTGAGTGGAAAAATATGGTCTATTTTTAAACTCTTAACGTTTTGTAACATGTGTAATAGAGCATACTTTGTTGTATTACTAAAAGGCTGACCAAAAGTGTCCGAATGTGCCCCGGTCTCCCCTACCGTGTAAATGTAAAGAAATGAAGAAAAAGCACTTTTTGGTAGGTTCGGTCTGATAGACCGATGTTAGTACTAGTGTTACAAAAATCATGTTACTACTGGAGGGTTAATTAACATTTAACAGTGCGAATTTCTCAAATGTTGGGTTGGGCATGAAGCGCACGGCTAAACCCGATACGTTCTAGGTCTAGTGTTCTAGTTATCGTTCAATAAAAATATGCAACATAGTTATATCTACTGCTAACTAGCGTTACCTAGCACTTCCACTAGAACTAACACTATACCCAGAATTAGAATCATTCGGATTTAGCCGTGCGGGTCTTCTGATGGCTAAATCCGAATGTTTCTAGTTCTGGGTCTAGTGTTAGTTCTAGTTTTAAATGTTATTTAGCGTTAGATTATGGTATATTTTTATTGAAAGAAAAGTAGAACTAACACTAGTCCTAAAACGGCTTTTAAAAAATATTTGCTTCTTCAGCAGTTACAATAGCTTTCATGTTCACTTTATCTTTTTTTCCTTACCCTTTATTTTTTATTTGGACATTTCTTTTTGTGTTTATGTATTTTCTACTGTTGTATCTTCTCAACTCCTTTTTTCTGTACTAAGCGTCTCTCTTTTTTTACTTTTTGGCCTTTTTACTCTTTCGTCTATTCTTGCTACTATTAATTTTATTACTATTAGTATTTTGTTATTATACTTATTTTAATCTGTATAATCATGTTTAGTTTCTATTTTTTTTTATTCTTCAGGGGTTGATGAAAAACAGTTATTCATGGTTTATCCATGTGAACTGACTCAGTCCCTTTTGGCGAATCGTTAAAATTAAGTTTTAAGGTATAAGTTTATTAAGTTGTCGCAGTTGCTGATAAGAACGTTGCAGAACGTTTTCTAGTGTTAATGCTAGTTTTACACTATCACTAGAACTAACACAAAACCTAGAATTAGAATCATTCGGGTTTAGCCGTCTTGAGAGATATACGACTAAATCCGAATATTTCCAGTTTTAGGTCTAGTGTTAGTTCTAGTATTAACATAAAGTCTATTGACACAGTCTATCTAACAAAACGTGACGTCACATCGAAATTTTAAAGTGATTTTTCGGTATGTTCAACATTTTTCTGCACTTTCTTTTTATTTTTAACGTGTTTTTTGGGTCATTTCTCATTGATTAAAAAAAAATCGTCGATTTTTAAGCCACCTGATAATTCTTGAATTTTTCCATTAATTTATAATTATTTTAAGTATTTTTAAGCACCTATAATTTTTTTAACCGAATATCCAGGTATTGCATATACAAACAGTAAAATGATTATAGCCAAAGCTAAGATAATAAGAAATTTTAAAATTTTCCACTTGTAATTGTGCCATATAATGTATCTTATTGATTTTAACGGATTTAAAAACCACATAAATGAAGCGTCTGGTCGGTTGGGTTTCTCCAAAGCATCCGGTTCGTTTCTTCCAAAACCGACTGGGTTTTTTTCGGCTTCATCCCTCGTTAATAAATGAATTTCCATTTCGACTTTACCAGTTAACTCCAAATCTTCGTTGTCTTTTTTAATAAAAAACGGCCACCAACCTTTAACTCGTTTTTGTTTAAAAATGTTTATCATCGGAACGGATCCGTCCGATTTTAACATATCTAAGGTACACAATTTCGATGATTTAGCCCCGCGTGGAAATCGATTCAAATCGATCGTAATCGCCCCTAAAAAATCGTCCGCGGAGAAATGATCGGCATCCCAAACTTGGAGTTCAAGCCGAGCGGGGATTTTACATTCGGTTTCGTCCCAAGAAAACAACGATTCTTTTCGGGTTATTACGATTTTTTGTTCTGCACTCATGTATTCGAACGGATAAACGAATCTCCAATTGAAATTTCCTTCCCCGGTTAATGATCGATAATGAATATCGGTGCATTGGCAATCTTCTGGACCTTTTAACCAACCTTTAACGTAAATATCGGACATTTTTTCGCCGGTAAAAAAAGCGTCATCTTCTAAAACGACGTCATCGGTGTTCCAAACGATTATTCTTAATTCGTAACCTTTCGGTTTTCTCGGTGATATGTCGAGAGGTGGCCCCGGAAGTGGCATATCCATCGGAAACATATCAACCCACATTTCTAATTTTCCTTGTTCTATTCCTGGCTTATCCGGATTATACAACGGTCTTGTTTCGATGTGTTCCGGGACAAGATGACATCCAATTCGTGGAAATTCATTCCAACGATGTAAAACATTCAACGCCATGTGTTCCTCGGCATCTTTCGTTGTAAAATAATCGATTTCTTCTGGAATGTTAAAACATTTGTTTCCAATCTTTACTTGACATTCGGAGTAAATTGGAGGCTCAACTTTTCCTTCTTTACATAATTTGGCTAAGATTTGCGTTGGTTTCGTCGCGTCTCTCCATTGATTATAACCAAACTCTTCGTATTTATGTGGTAACCCGATTATTCCTCTATGTCTGCTGTAAAATCGATTTTCCAAATCAATTTTAGTCTCACCCACCATGTCATCCGATCCGACTAAATCCCAATCGAAAATTTGTACGATCAATAATGAGTCTTGGGGAAACGTGGCTTCGAATTCGAAGCATTTCCCAAAAATAGGATTTAATTGTTTTGATATGTAATTGTCTTTATCACTGATTCGCTTCGATCCTAATTGCAAAACTATGTATGGATCGGCTTTTCCGTTTAAATCCATTGGATGTAAATCGGTTGCTTTTACTATGTACACTCTAACTAAAACCCGAATTGGATCGTTTGATGGTAAACCTTGAAAGAACCCGTATTGAGGATCGAAACCCATAACTGTATGATCTTCAATGTCTTTGGGTAAAGGCCATTTATATAATTTAATTGCTCCCTAAATTCAAGAAAAAATTTAATTAAGTAGTTAAGTGGTTATGATATAAAAGTGATTTAAAAGTTGGTTGTCAAGAATAAAATTAAATACTTTAATAATCAACATGTACGCGATCTTTTCCAAAAAGTGAATCCGCTATAAAGGAAATGGAAAAATATTATGGATTGATTCGAGATGATGCTTCATCGATGGACGCAGTACTGTGAAGAGTTATTATATATTCTGACAAGGAATTAAGATAGAAGGCGAATAACTATTGGGAAGAGATAGATTGTGAGCCAGATATCTTGAAAGAAGCTATATGTTACCCAAAGACAAATAAGGCTTCTGGGGCAGATCAAATCAAGGCAGAAATTTTCAAAGTGTTTGGACGATGCAGCTATAAAAATGCTTTCAGATCTACATTATGTAACAAAGTATAGAGAACAGGAAAATGGCCAAAAGATTGGATATCATCAATTTTTATCCCCATACGCAAGACAGGCCTCACAATGAAATGTGAAAATCATAAAACTATATCCTAATATCACATCCTAGTAGCAGTAGCTAGCCCGAATAAGCAGGATTTACTAAGGGAAGAGATGCAGGAGAAGCAAAAATACAACTAAACGCTAATGTCTAGTAGAGGTGTATTTTATTATCAAGATTGTTCAAAGTATGCTAACAATACGACTCTGCTGGCGAAAGATAGAGAACTCCATAGAATGCTGGATTTGGTGAGCGAAGAAAGTTGAAATGTGGGATTAGAAATGAACCTAAGACGAAATTGATGATAATAAATAGAGGTAATAATCTAACGCAGGAAAATATTGTAGATGAACAATGAAATGTGGCGCTGGCGTTGAATACTGCGTACTCGCTGGTCACAAAGATCCACTAACATATCGATACTGAAAGAGCTCGAGATCAAAGACAATCAAGAGATCAAATCAGAAAATATACAGAAAACCTGGATAAATTAATAGTTCAAGGAAAAGTAAAAGGCAGAAGTCCAAGGAGAAGATCACCAACTAGGTGGCTGGACCAGGTAAAAGAGATAACAGACACCCCTCTGTAAGGCGCACTTCAAGAGGTACACGAGTTATGGAGGAATAAAGTAAAAATATGCTCATAAACATGAAATCATAACTTCTCAGTTATAAGAATTATCACTGACAATGAGATAAAATAAGTCTATGCCGTATTTGGTGATTTTGACAACTATCGATAACAGTTGTAAGAAGCTCCATCAAGAGATCAAAACAGAAAATGTAGAGAAAACCTGGATAAATTAATAGTTCAAGGAAAAGTAAAAGGCAGAAATCTAAGGAGTAGATTACCAACTAGGTGGCTGGACCAGGTAAAGGACATAACAGACACCCCGCTGTAAGGCGCACATCAAGAGGCACAAGAGTTATGGAGGAACAAAGTAAAAATATGCGCATAAACATGAAATTACGACTTTTCAGTTATAAGAATCATCACTGAGATTAAATAAGTCTATGCCGTGTTTGGTGATTTTGACAACTATCGATAACAGTTGTAAAAAGCTCCATCAAGAGATCAAAACTGAAAATTTAGAGAAAACCTGGATAAATTAATAGTTCAAGGAAAAGTAGAAGGCAGAAATCTAAGGAGAAGATTACCAACTAGGTGGCTGGACCAGGTAAAACAGATAACAGACACCCTGCTGTAAGGTGCATTTCAAGAGGCACAAGAGTTATGGAAGAATAAAGTAAAAATATGCTCATAAACATGAAATCACAATTTTTCAGCTATAAGAATCATCGTTGAGATAAAATAAGTCTATGCCGTATTTGGTGATTTTGACAACTATCGATAACAGTTGTAAAAAGCTCCATCAAGAGATCAAAACAGAAAATGTAGAGAAAACCTGGATAAATTAATAGTTCAAGGAAAAGTAGAAGGCAGAAATCCAAGGAGAAGATTATCAACTAGGTGGCTGGACCAGGTAAAGGAGATAACAGACACCCTGCTGTAACGTGCACTTCAAGAGGCACAAGAGTTATGGAGGAATAAAGTAAAAATATGCTCATAAACATGAAATCACAACTTCTCAGTTATAAAAATCGTCACTGAGATAAAATAAGTCTATGCCGTATTTGATGATTTTGACAACTATCGATAACAGTTGTAAAAAGCTCCATCAAGAGATCAAAGACAACCAAGAGATCAAAACAGAAAATATAGAGAAAACCTGGATAAATTAATAGTTCAAGGAAAAGTAGAAGGCAGAAATCCAAGGAGAAGATTACCAACTAGGTGGCTGGACCAGGTAAAAGAGATAACAGACACCCCGCTGTAAGGCGCACTTCAAGAGGCACAAGAGTTATGGAGGAATAAAGTAAAAATATGCTCATAAACATGAAATCACAACCTCTCAGTTATAAGAATCGTCACTGAGATAAAATAAGTCTATGCCGTATTTGGTGATTTTGACAACTATCGATAACAGTTGTAAAAAGCTCCATCAAGAGATCAAAGACAATCAAGAGATCAAAAACAGAAAATGTAAATAAAACCTGAATAAATTAATAGTTCAAGGAAAAGTAGAAGGCAGAAATCCAAGGAGAAGATTACCAACTAGGTGGCTGGACGAGGTAAAAGAAAAAATAGACACCTCGCTGTAAGGCGCACTTCAAGAGGCACAAGAGTTATGAAGGAATAAAGTAAAAATATGCTCATAAACATGAAATCACAACTTCTCAGTTATAAGAATCATCGTTGAGATAAAATAAGTCTATGCCGTATTTGGTGATTTTGACAACTATCGATAACAGTTGTAAAAAGCTCCATCAAAAGATCAAAACAGAAAATGTAGAGAAAATCTGGATAAATTAATAGTTCAAAGAAAAGTAGAAGGCAGAAATCCAAGGAGAAGATTACCAACTAGGTGGCTGGACCAGGTAAAGGAGAGGCACAAGAGTTATGGAGGAATAAAGTAAAAATATGCCCATAAACATGAAATCACAACTTCTCACTTATAAGAATCATCACTGAGATAAAATAAATCTATGCCGTATTTGGTGATTTTGAAGACTATCAATAACAGTTGTAAAAAGCTCCATCAAGAGATCAAAAACAATCAAGTTATCAAAACTGGAAATGTAGAGAAAACCTGGATAAATTAATAGTTCAACGAAAATTAGAAGGCAGAAATCCAAGAGAAGATTACCAACTAGGTGGCTGGACCAGGTAAAAGAGATAACAGACACCCCGCTGTAAGGCGCACTTCAAGAGGCACAAGAGTTATGGAGGAATAAAGTAAAAATATGCTCATAAACATGAAATCACAACTTCTCAGTTATAAGAATCGTCACTGAGATAAAATAAGTCTAAGCCGTATTTGGTGATTTTGACAACTATCGATAACAGTTGTAAAAAGTTCCATCAAGAGATCAAAGACAATCAAGAGATCAAAATAGAAAATGTAAATAAAACCTGTATAAATTAATAATTCAAGGAAAAGTAGAAGGCAGAAATCCAAGGTGAAGATTTAAAAAGCGCCCTAACAGTAGCTAATTTATCTACTTTACATCGGATATCACTAGAGTCTTTATATCGAAGTGCAAATACTTTACAAGAAATCTAAATCGTTTTCAGACATGTCATTCGGAAAATGTTTATCTTAAAACCAACAGTATGCCAAAACTTGGGGTACAATTTAAAATGTGATGTAACGCAAATCAGGTGGACAAGTGGACTTGCTACTTTGAAGGTCTGTATAGAGGAAGAAAAAGTGATATAACCTTCGCCGAAAGCCAAAGATTATAGAACGCAGAGGTTGAGGAAATAGACATCCATAAAGCTGTTTTGGCATTTCCCGCAACACTGCATTCTAAAGCGCATACACAATAAGCGAGGAACAATAGCGGTTTCTAAAAAACAAGTCGATGGTTGAAACGGTCTTTGTAGCTAACCAAGTAAAGAGAGAGAGATAAAATATAATAAGATACGACTGCCGGACGTTATTATTGGTTAATTTGTTTTTAAGATGAGTTGGATTAGTGACATTGAAGGATGGGTAAAAAAAATTCATGAATCATATTTTCTGGGTTAATAAGGACCATTTTCTGTATGACTCAGTTTATTCCATCTCTTTAAATCTTTAAACAATCAGACGTTTAGATGTTTTGAAATAGATGTTTTTACTTTGACAGTGTCAGTATTGATTAATTCGATTTTAAGATGGGTTGGATTAGTAATATTTGAGAAATGGGTCAAAATCATTCTTGGTTTAAAGGAAGAATAAACGCCGATTCTAGTCCTAGGTTTTGTACTAGTTCTAGTGATAGTGCAAAATTAGAACTAACACTAGACCTAGAACTAGAAATATTCGGGTTTAGCCGCACGTCTTTCAAGACGGCTAAACGCGAATGATTCTAGTTCTTGGTCTTATGTTTGTTTTAGTGACAGTGCTAGAGGAAAATTAGAACTAGCACTAGACCTAGATCTAGAAACATTCGGGTTTAGCCGCACGTTTCTCAATATGGGTAAACCCGAATGTTTCTAGTTCTAGGGCTAGTGTTAGTTCTAGTTTTAGTTCAATAAAAATACGCAACATAGTGATATCTTATGTTAACTAGCGCTACCTACAATTGTCACTAGGACTATCATTAAACCTAGAACTAGAAACATTCAGACATGTTGCATTTTATGTGGGACAAAGTAAGTCCACATACATATTTTAATATATTGCATCTTAAGTGAAATTCACTGTATAACAAAATTTAAAATTGACAAACCCACTTTTTAATCACTACCTTTTTTAATACCTTAAATAATCCTACGATTCTGCTATCATCATCTGTATCATCACCAGTCTTTTTCCCTCTATACAAAGGAAAAGTATTTAACCACTCTTTGAATCCTTCAAATTCAGGTCTTGCTTCTAATTCCGTTGGGTAAATCTAAGAAAAACAATTATTAAAACAAAAATATGAAACCCGTGCGACGATAGCAACAAACTTTTACCCGTAATTTCCTATCTACTTTCTTAGCTGATCTTCCTTATTATTGGAGATAGCGAAAAACTAAACGCACCACTTGAAAGCTTGAATCTTTCTCTATCTAAAACCGGGTTTTCGTCTGCAGATAAGTTGATATTAAGATCAATAAAAAATGAAGAACACCGCGCTGTACTTAAAATAGCTCAAAATTACCAAACTTCAAGGCCTTGTGCAATTGTTATGAAACCGAATTTAAAAAAACTGTTATCACAGTCAGAAAGGGCGCTCCTTCAGCTATCTTAATCCGAGTTTTCAATGTCAATGTCTATCGACGTCATGCTTAAATCACCCTTAATGTCCATCCCTACACGCAGAAGCGCTTAAATACTCTTCCTCTAAACAACTTTCTTATTTGATAGGGAGAAAACTATAGAAACATAAGTATCTTATCGAAAGTTTCCTACTCTTTCTAGTGGTGTATAATAGGCGGTGATCACGCGCTTGCACAAGTACATTTTTGGCCAAAAACTGCAAAATTCACACGTTTTAGCCATTCTCAAACCCTGTTTGGGTCGATAACTATCTTATATAAGCAGGAGAAAACTCTAGAACCATATCTATCTTATCGAAAATTTCCTGCTCTTTCTAGTGGTGTATAACACGCGACGAGGAAGAGTATTTAAGCGTTTCTGCGTGTAGGGATGAACATTAAGAGTGATTTAAGCATGACGCCGATAGATATTGACCGACGAAAACTCGGATTAAAATAGCTGACGGAGCGCCCTTTCTGACTGTGATAACAGTTTTTTAAAATTCGGTTTCATAACATTTGCACAAGGCCTTGAAGTTTGGTAATTTTGACCTATTTTAAGTACAACATTTTTTAGTAAGTACTTCATTTTTTATTGATCTTAATATCAACTTATCGGCAGACGAAAAGCGGTTTTAGATAGAGAAAGGTTCAAGCTTTCAAGAGGTGCGTTTAGTTTTTCGCTATATCTAATAATAAGGAAGATATCAGCTAAGAAAGTAGATAGGAAATTACGGGTAAAAGTTTGTTGCTGGGAGGTTTGTTGCTATCGTCGCACGGGTAAATATGAATGTGATAAAATCTAATTACTTTGCATAAAGCCGGTTTTAATTTATTTCGTTTCCTAAACCCTTTAGGACTAATCCTAGCTGCAAATCTCGAGGCTGTCGCGGCAGTTTTAAATCCAAATCGCTTTTTATGTTCATTCGGACTTTTTTCTGTTACACCATTACTGTTTGCTTTTATGTTTAAATTTTCTTCGGTTTGGTTCATTTGAATCGAACCATCGGCGTTAAACATTCTCCTTGCTTCTTTTGATTCGGCAATCATTTCTTCGACTGAAGCGAAATATTTCGTCCACCAATCTTTGCCGTCATCCTCGTCGATTTCATCGTTATCCAAACTTAATTTTCTGCCGCTTTTTTTATTTCCATCGACCTTTTTTTTAATGCAATCTTGTGTCCCATATCCAAAACCGATTTGAGTATCTTTATTAGGTAATAAAGGACTTTTTTCAATACTATTATCGGTGTCGATAAGTAATGTGTGAGCTAAATGATTATTTTCTAAACAATCTAAAGCTTTTAATTGGTGTAAAGATTTTTTTCGTTCTTCAGCTTCGCGCTCGCGTTTCGTTAAAGGATTATAAACGTATTTGTGAACTGAATTGATCATATGGGTACCAACTAAAGTGTATCGACCAAAACTCCGACAATCAACCGCTCGAATTGTAAGTGGGGGCCTATAAAGTTCTTGCTCGGGGAGATCAAGATCGAGAAATTTAACAGGGCTATTAAAATTAGGATTTTTTCGCGCGTTTTGAATTATTGATGAATATAAAATGTGACCGGCACATTCAATATCCACCCTTGGTTTATCAACTTTTAAAAGATGTATTCGTTTAAGATCTCTGAGTCCCCAAAAAAGAACTTCAATCCGATATCTAGCCAACGTCGGTCGAATTCCTTTAGGCACCGGTAAAATTGGACCAACATTTTTAACTTCATCCTTATAAACAGGAATTTCTTTAGGCGGTGGCAAATTCGGCAAATCACTATCATCGTTCGAAATCTCTAACAATTCAAACGTAGCCAAAAGTTCTCCAGCCCGATCACTTCCTCGCGTAATATCGAACCATTCCAACGGAGCCGGAAATTTTGGTTTCGCGTAATTTTCTTGTTTTAGTTTCACGTGAGCTTTAGCGATCGCTCTTCCGATAAATTCCGATTTTCCGACTTTGTCTTGATCGAAAATTTCGATTATTATTGTTGGGGGGTCGTGTTGAATTTCTTCTCCGGTGCCGTAAATTAAAATTTCTTCGAAAATTAATAATTCGTCCCATGTGGGGCTTAATGTTTCATCGATCACTTGCGTCGTTTTGCTAAATTCTCCAGCTACTACCGTTGCAAAAGGGTCAGATAACCCGGAAGCATCAGAACCAATTAACGATCTTGCTTGGTAAACATGAGCACGTAATTGAAATATCTAAAACAAAAAAAAAGAATTGTAATGTGTTGAGTAATACGATAAAAATAAAATAACAGATGTATTATATATATAAATGAGCTTAAATAACAAACAAGATAACGAAATTATAGAAGACTTAGAATGCCCATTTGGTGTATAGCTAATGTTATAGCTAATTAATTGAGCTTTGGAACGAACTTTCAAACGATACTGTTGCCTTAGTTTATTTAAAGGATGTCTTAATCTCGAGAAAAAGGAATCAGCTTTATATTCGACCAGGAATAATGTTAATAATGGTTATTTGTCGCAAAGAAATGTGCGTACAATAGTCAACAATACAAGAAAATAATAATAATATTTAATAAAAAATGCAATTTAAGTATTCCTCTATTGAGTAGAAGGTGTATTGTAGTAACAATCAATGGTGGTAATTTATTATATAATTTTATACACATATAATTAGTGCTTTGTTGTGCTCTTTTGATACGGTGTTGTGGAATGACGATCCTGTTTTTCTGCTTAGTGTCATGTTGGTGGATATCACTATGTGATGAATCTCATTTTGTTGTTATGCAGAAGGATTACTGCCGCCGGTATGTAGACGCTAGGGACAGTTAATATTTGCATCGCTTTAAACATGCTTCTGCAGCTGTCTCGCGGTCCTGCACACGCCAAAGCTCTAAGGGCTTCCTTTTGCTGGATTAAGAACTTGGAAGTTTGAGGCGATGGTCCCCACACCTCAATGCCATATTGAAGTATGGAATTAAAGTGGCTGAAGTAGGCGGTTCTAGCAGCTTCATGGGTTGAGATAATCCTTATTCTTCTGATGAGGTAGGTTACTGTGGCTAACTTTTTTATAACCACTCTTTCGCTTCTAGCTCGACTTCTTCGGACCTTCCGAGGAGTTCCTGTCTGTCTCTAGATGTTACCAACAGCGAAGTATCATCAGCGAAAAGGCACGTCAAATCAGCCGTTAAGTTTTGTGGTAAGTCATTGATATAGAACAGGAAGAAAACCGGGCCAAGAACAGATCCCTGTGGCATTCTGAAGTGTCCTATTTGTCTTCTTGCCGAGAATCTTCCTTTCCAGTAAATAATTTGTGTTCTATCCTGGAGATATGTCCTGAAGAGTGAAAGTGAAGTACCCCTTATACCGTAGTAGTCTAGCTTAGCGAGCAGAATCTGATGGTCGACGGAATCAAAAGCATTTGTTAGATCGCAGCATTTGAGTAGTGCTTCTTCCTTTTTGTTGAAAACATTTGCAATCAGTTCCAAAGGACCTGTAACAGCTGATGATGTGGATCTTAGCTTTCGGTAACCGTGTTGTTCGGTGCTAAATATGTTGTGACTTTCAAGAAAATCAATCAGTCGCTTCTTTATTACTCGTTCATAGACCTTGGATAGTGTTGCCTGTATTGCGATGGGCCTGTTATTAGTGCAATTCGCTTTATCACCACACTTGAAAAATGGCACCACCTTTGAAACTTAAATTCTTCTGGGTAAATTCCATCTAGCATGCATTGATTGATAGCATCTGTTAACGGTTTTGCTATTTCGTCTCGTAAACTCTTTAATAAAACTGATGAAATTCTATACAAGTCTAAAGTATTTTTTGATTTTAGGTTCTGTATGACACTTCCGACCTCTATCAAATCTACTGGTGAGAGGATAATACTCGTGACCGATCTGCTTCTCTTCACGAAGATTTCCGGACAGAGCACAGGTCCAGGTTCAGAGTGTATCTGGTTGCCAATCTCACAAAAATAATTATTAAAGTCATCCGGGTGTCTAATTTCTTTTGGTGGAATTCGTTTTTAATTACCGTCCAAATGGCCTTGGAACGATTGTCGCTATTTTGTATAAAGTTGGAAAGAGTTATAGCTTTTTGTTGTTGAATTGCTTGCTTGTATTCTAATTTGTATCGCTTGTAAATTTCCATGTATTCAGGTAAGTTCACAACTGTTGCGATAGTGTGCAATATATCCAATAGTCTCTTTTTGTTCTGCAGTTCCGGAGAAAAATTCATTTGACAACATCTTTCCTTGGTATCGGGTACTTCTTTTTCAGGCAATATGTGATTGAACGAATTTGTGAATGTGGTATGGAACGAGGAATAACCAAGATGAGCATCTAGCCATTGCGTCCCACGAAGACTTTGATTGAACGCAAGTATTTTCTCTGTTGTAATTAATATTACCTTTTTCATATTTGTAATGTTTGTGATTTTTCCCGCTACCTTTTCTTTCTGAAATCCCTAAAAGGGTCTTTAAACAATGCGTCTTGCATGATTTTTGGTGATTAGGTGAATTATGTATTTCCCATAAACTGTCTTCTTTCGCTTAGTGAGTAGTGTTGAGTTTATGCCATCGTTTGCATCAACATCTGCAGAAGTCAGATCGATATTATAAGACATTACATAATAAATCGTTTGTTTAAACTTTTTTTAAGTGAATCATGTCTTCATTTTGGTTTTTATCTTGAAATGGTAGCTTATAGTTTAGAGTGTACTGTTTTATCCATACAGTCCGCGGCGGCAGCACGCGATGTGCGCTAGAAACAATTCTGCCGCGCGCAAATTTAGACATATCAAAGAAAGTTAGCACGGTACTGCTACGCGGCAAATGCGAGACACCCCACTTTGTTTGGTTTTTGATATGCTGTGTCAGAGGAGAAGAACGTAGCTATGCCCCCATACTCCATAGTATAGAGATTTGATTTATTGCTCCCTTTTTCTCTAAAAGTTGTTGTTGCTTAAGCACGTATTCCACTTATTTTCTATGTTTTGCAGTAAAGAATGGGTTGGAAGTGTATATTGACCTTGACAATCGCTAAATTGTTTTGGTGCCTGTTCGCTTCGATGACAATAACCTTTCATTTTTCTATACTTCTAATCGCTCAATTGCGTTGGTCTTGCGAATGGAGTTTGAAGTGCGACATGAAAGAAATATTAGAATTCTTCAAAGATGATAACGAAGAGAAGTGACTATTTTGATTCAGTTATATAGATCGGGCAGAATACACATAAAACGCCAAAAATTAATTTCCAACACCAATTCCTATCTTATCTTAGGGCTCCACCAAACTATATACAGTCTTTACCGTACTAGAAAATATTACTGGCAAGAATCATTTGGAGATTTTAGATCATTAGTGACATTGCAAAAACTTTTACAGAATGTGAAACTGAATATGAACCTAAGCAGAACTAGCTATTTTATTTATAAATGTCAAAATAATAATATTATTAACAAAAACTTAATGAGAAAGATGAGACTGCTTATTTTTGACCAGTTTTTCTATTCGTGGTTGAATTGATGACACCACGCGAAATGGATCACGAATGCTCATACTATTTCTATATTTTGTTTTAATTACACTCATTATTGAAAATCCGACCTCAGAGGTAAGTCGTGTAAAAAGGAAGTAGTTTCTTCATGGCAATATCTGGCAGCTCAAGATATTTTGTTTTAACTTGTAACCAAAAAGATGCAAGCGAATTATTATCATCTTCGAAGCTATCAAGTTCTTCTCCTGCATCGTGGATGAATGTCTCTAAGTTGTCAAACATGCCATAACACTTTCTTGATAAGCGATCTTTCCATGCTTTAAGTTTTCGTTTCTGTCCATTGATTTTGACTGCAATGGTAAAACAGGAAACCATCCTTCCTTGGCAAAGATGTCAATTTACATCAAGGAAAAATTAGGGCGAATTTTCTTTTTTGTTCTGAAGGAACACCGATGGTTCGTTCCGAAACTCGAATAGTCTTGAACCAATGGACAACCAATGCAGCTCAGCATGTAACAAGATCTTTTCATAGCATAATACAGCAAATAACCGCGAGTTCAAAGTATTTGCCTTAATATAATTATCAATTTTCGACAAGCACATCGTTAAATTCTGGGGACATTTGTTTTGTTACCGGATTTTCCCGGTCGACTTGCATTCAGCTGCAAGCTTTTTAATCTGTGTAGCTACACCAAAATGTCGTCCTATCATTGCAGCAGCCCCGTCAAATCATACTCCTACACACATTTGAGGTCCAATCCATGTAGTCCAACCCACAATTATTGACTACGTAATCTGTCACAGTTTTGTGTATTCCTGAACTAGTGATTTTTGTTGGCAAAAAATTCTTCCTGCAGGTCACCATTCTGTTCAAATCTCACATACACCAAAAGAATAGCCTCACCAGCAAGATCTGTAGATTCGTCAAGTTGAAAAGCAAAATATTTTAATGCAGTATTATTCTCGTCATACACATTGTATTCGAACTGAAACCAAAGACCGGATCTACAAGACTGATTATTAATTAGACCGATGCTGATTTATGCAGCGGAAATTTGAGACATCCAAAACAAAAAGAATATTAGAGACTACAGAAATTTTGAAAGAAAATTTTTTTCTTATAGTCATTTTTTCAATAGTCGTAAATAAGTTAAACCGTAATATTACACTCGAGAAAAATAAAAATAAATTTCTACAAAACACCAACAATAAAAAGATAAATAATTCATTTTTTTAAATAACTTACATGTTTTTCGACGTAGTGAATAATCGATGGCGGTAACGCTCTAGGTCTTTCGGCGTTTCGAATCTCCTGGGTTATCTCGTATCCTTTCGGTATGCCATTGATGAAGTTCTTTTTGTGTTTTAAAATACCGAGCCATAGGATTATATCGAGCTTCACCTGTATCGTCCAACCGCTGGGACCGGAAGCTCGTTTTCCCGGCAGCTGCGAAACGACGAGAACACTGGATGAACTCAGGCTTATTGTTGGAAAGAAGTTTAATTAACTAGTGCATCAGGTGAACTGTTTCGCTGGAACGTGCTTTATGTTCTTCTTAAATGTCCCTTTTAGATATTTTATTATATTAATTTGGATTATGTAAATGATATAATTAGAATAAATTTTAATAAAATACTTAGTAACTACGAGAAAACTAATATTTGCGCGATATCACATGAAGGTAAATGTTAAAACAAACGAAACTATTCCCAGTTGAGTTACTCGTGTTCTCCGTGTTTAACTAATACTATTTGTGTGCTTCAAACAAACTTTAACACTTAACAGTTGCTTTTAAGATACATAAAAAACGGTTACCTTTAGGAATATTGTTTGAACTTTTCCCGACTCTCTTCCGGCTTCTTCGTCGACAATCGAATAAATAATATCCCTTGCGGATATACGTTGGTAAGCTTGACGTTTACCGCCGCTAATAATCCACAGGAAAACGTCTGGGAGAGAATGTTGGGGCTGAAAATGGGAGAAGCGTGAAAATGACATTACACGTCGTCTCAGTTTATCCCGTTGTCGGCAATAATCTTACGTCCTCAACGAGTCCTTTTAGTTTAGCGAGATAAGATTGGGCCGTCTTGTAACGCTCCCGAAAGGAATTTTTCGTCACCAAAGCCCTGAGGTTCTTTGACATATTTCCTGTGTGTTCCTTTTGTTGTGAAAATCCGGCATTAATTAAATTTTGTTTAAGGTGGGAGCGAAAACACTCACCAACTCACGTAAGCATAGTTTGAGGTGTTCCTTATCAAGCTTCGTCTTTCCGGTTCCCGGCCCGGTGGTGGAGCCCTTTGAAATTGTTACGTATTTGGCGCAACCTACGGATAGCTCCTCTAAAACTTGTTTTAGCTGAAGTTCAGCTTCGGAACGCTCGCATTCCATCATAGCGTGGACTTCATTTAAACCTTCCTCCTGCGTGATTACAAGATTAAACAAATGTTTTATTTATATGTTGTGTGAGTTACCAATTTATCCGCAATTTTTGAAATGATGTTGGAGTTATACATTCTCCTCCGGTGATCGGGCCAAACAGATCGAACGTGCATGCAAGGTTTATTATCCCAATACGGTAAAAAATAATAAATTTTATCGTGAGTCATCGGTTTCGTTGGCGTTGTGGTGCTTTGCCAGGAAGCGTCGGTAATTATACTTTCTAATTCGTCGCTATCGGAATCGCTTTTATTCATTTTTGATTCATTGTTTCCATCGATGGCATTTCCCGCATTCCCAATGGTAACTTCAAAATAAACAGGTTTATCTGCGAGTTTTTTATCGATCATGGAAGCGTTTAATATGGTTGAAAACAAAAAGAATTCTTCGTTTTTTCCGTAAGCTGATTCATTTATTGATTGTGTCGCTTCTAAATCGACTTCGGATGGGCCTATATCGATGTTATCGGTGATTTCCGTTCTGATAGCGATTAAAAGTCGCGCTCGATATGAAACTCCTTCGCCTAAACCGGTGTTCAACGAAGAGTGTTCATCAATTAAGCTATAATCGCGGGTTGAGCCGTAAAGATGAATGAACGAAGGACCGAACGTCGGAAGAAATCCTGGAAAAAAAGAAGTTGAAGAGGATTGTAATTTTCGATTTTGCTTCCCAGGATACCTGAAGATGACTCTCACCCTTCTCTCCGTCATTGGAAATCGTTTTCAAATCGATGAAATGAGTCCCTATGACCGTTGGTTTCACCGGATCGTTGTCTCTTAGCTGAATTTTAATCCTTTGACACAAAGGTGGGAACATTTCGGTAAAAACGAGCTGTTCGTTCCAAACGGGAGCGTAACTATGTTTTTTCACGCTCGTCTTTCCCTAGAAAAAAAATGAATTTTTTATTCGTTCGCCAATAAATTTTGTTCAATCAACGCGAATACGATCGGAAACTCGTTTCGAACGTGAAACAGTAAATTTGAAATTTCTTACGTAGTTGTGTAAAACCGTAAAATCGCGTATCGTATTGCTTACCGTTAACCCCGCGAAGGAAACCTGCACAAACGGGTCCACTAGGTCGCTCGTTTCCCCGGTGAAAGCCTTCTTTACGTTTGCCATCAAAGAGGAGTTCATTTTCGGCAGTCCATCCGCCCTGTATATTTTGACTATGAACCGAGCTCTCTGCCTATCGATCGGAACACCATCAGGTAAGAGGAGATTACTAGAAACACGAACAACAAAAAATATAGTGTTGGAAATGTTAAAAAAGTTTTATTTAAGAATTCAGAGTGTAAAATAACTTTAAAAAAAACGTAATAACTGTTTTCAGTTTTTATATTTGGATATAACCACATTAATTATTAAAATAACTTAATAATATATACTTCCTCTGTCCAAAAATAATTGCTACATTTGAGTTTAACTTTGGTCCGAGAATAGTTGCTACACTTTGTTTTATTTCAAAGAAACTCAAGAAATAAAGATGTAGAAAGCAAAACTATATTACTTATTTAAATTGAAAATATAAAAAAACAATAACTTAAACTATTTATTTGTAATACTTAATTACTGCTATTATTTAAATATTCTTGAGCCATTTTAATAGCATTTTCATCGCATTTAATAGACAATAAAGTTCAATTAGAATGAGTGCGTCTTAATTTCATTTTGTTTAGGTGTTTTAATTTATAACTATTACATCCTTTATGTAATAATGTACACTCCATTGCTTTTTGCAGTGAAATAAATACATTATCTAAAGTTTCTCTGCTCATACTCCAGTAGGATTTTTTCACTGCTTCAATTAATTCATCGATATTTCTTTATGGTAGTTGATGCTGAACTGATTGAATGGAATTGAAAAAAAAACCTAAATCCAACACATTCAAATGTGGCTTTGTATTATTTTGTTGAATGTATATTGTGTTTTTCTTAGAACCAACAGGCGACTTGTCCCGTATTGCAGGAATTAAATTATGAAGAATCATTTTCCTTATTTCTTCTTTGTTAACAACTTCTACAGCTTTGGTTACGAAAGTTCCCTTTGGTCGATTCTTACTGTTTCTCTTAGCTGGAGAAGAAGATGCAAATGGCCAAATTCCTAACTTTCCATCAAAATACGTTTTTCTATGAAAATCACAACGTGGACGAGCAACTGCCACCATAAACATTACCTTTGTAATAAATCTTTTACTCTTACAAGGTCTATAAGGCTGTTCTCCTTCGGAAGTTATATTTTTATATAACTTTCTTTTAGCTTTGGTTATATAGAACCATTTTTCGTCAATATGTATATAGTAGAAACCACGAGAGCTGGCAGTGACAGATCGCTTAAAAATGGTATGAATCAAGATATAATCAAGACGTACGACTTAGATTATTTCGCCACATACATTTAAATGTAGGTTATGTTAGTAATGGAGGTTATATGTCAAAGATATTATTTAATGATTTTCCTTTCAAAGAAACCATTTTCGGCTTGTGAAAACACTAACAGATTCATGACAACGCTCACAAGACGTTTNAATTCAAATGGAAACGTATATTTTTGACAAAGTATGTGAAAAGAGCGTTAAAAAGTACGTAATACAGTGAAAACCGCAATATCGTACGTGTTTTAGTCTTACAGATATTCAAAAAAAGAAGGATAAATTAAAACGTAACTACGTTTGGGTGATTATTTAATATCATAGTAAGCTTTCAAAGAACAACTACCTACAACAAGTTATAACAATAATAACGTTTTATACAGGGTGTTTAAAAACAACGTTTAAATATTTATAGAGGTAGTACTACAGTCGAAAACAAGTCGAAAAGTGTTAATCAACATGGGTCCGAAAATAAACCGTTTTTGAAATACAGGATGTTCAAATTTCTTGGGACTCTACGTTTTTTCTCTTAAACTATAATTACTACAGATTTGATACTTGGCAAATCGATACAGTATGAAACTGTCTTTTTTTGAGAATAGTATGATGTTTCCATTGCTTGGAAACATCATATGGTTTGGATAGCAATTTGAATGGCAGGAAGTGTTGGAATTTTTTGTTGAACGATTTACCGGTTTTGTTGGAAGACCTTACTCTGGAGCGAAGACTTGTGCATCTCATTATGCTGTAGCCACAAGAGAAGTTTTAGACGAAATGTTTCCTGAAAAATGGATAGCACGATCACCTGACTTAACCTCTCCCGATTTACTTTCGTTGGGGTTACCTCAAAGAGAAAGTTTACAACCAGGTTCCAACAACACCAAACGATATGAAAAACCGTATCAGAGCAGCTTGCGAATCAATAACTGAAGAAATGCTTGGCAATGTGCAGAGAACGTTTTCAATGAGAATTCAGAAATGTTTAGAAGTGAATGGTCATCATTTTGAGGCATCGATCATTTAATCGATGTATAAAGGTAACTTTATAAATTTTAATCAATGTTCTAAGGTGATTTCAAAAATGAAGAAGAATTTTAGTACTATTTTACGATTAATTAAATCGTTTTTTTATTAATTAAATTTTTTGAATTACATTTTGAAAAATTTTGTTTTATTTTTCTTTTTGTAGATATCTTCATAACGCAGAATTTAAGAAAAACATTTTTTAAGCAAAAAATACTTAGTTTGTCAAGTTGTTCAAAACGTTGAAAGAGAAAAGTATATGTGCGATTTGAAAAAATGAAAATGACGTCAGAAGCGCCTTTAGGCAACCCTAAAAAGAAATCTGCTCATGTGTACCCTGTGCCTCCCTTTTCACCAAAAAAAGTTTACTTGAAATTTTTTTCGATTCGAGTTTTGGTTTTCGAGATATAAGCATATGTCATTTTAAATGAAATACCCTGTATAATACATCATAATGATGAATCCAAACCCAACCCAGCACCAAGTCAATTGTCACAGTGTCAACTCAGAAAATTATAATTTAACGAATTGAAATTAAAAACATAAGGTGAAATCATAAAAAAAGGTATTAATGATATTAACGATGACTCATTTCCTCCTGCTGCATCCACAGCTCCACTTTAAATTTTCTCTTGAATCCGCGCTCATTCTTCAGCCTCATCGGAATAGAAATGTTGTTATAAATGTGAGGCACACAGTATGAAAAAGTTCGTTCAAACCTGTGTCTAACATTTACATTATGAACATCAGTACGAAAACTAATTTTGTTATATAAATAAGGAGGAGTCTTATAAATAAGTATTTTATGATACAAACAAGCACAGTGCAAAATTCTCCGTCGTGACATATCCAGCCAACCAACCCATGCAAGCGAGTGAGATATCCTCTCCCGTCTTTTGATCCCAAACATAAAATGAAGATAAGAGTTCTGTACCCGTTGAATTCGAATTCTGTCCGCAGCATCAATGCAAGAATGGTAAAGCAGATCCCCGTAGTTAAAGATGGATAACACAAGTGCTTCGCACAAATGTATTCTTAATTTTTGATGTAAAAGGTTTTTGTTGCAATGACATGTGGGTTTTGCAATGCTTTAGATTGGAACAGAGATTAATAGTGTAAATTAGGTATAATATTGGTCCTAAGATGAGGTACACCTGAAGTAATATAACCTCTCTTCGACGAAACACCCTGAAATTTAACAATTTGCGAACAATGTAAAAAATAGTTTTTGAAAAAATCGATAGCCAACGGGGAGCAACCAACATAATGAAACACAGCAAGTAAAGTCGAATGATGGAGGGTGTCAAACACCTTAGAAAAGTCAATTAGGATGAGTGCGTGGATGATCCCATCCACGCAAGATATCATCCGTCACATTCAGAAGAGCTGTAGTACCAGGACGAAAACCAGACTGAGTAGATAGAAGTAAATTAAAAGTATTAAGATGATCCCAAATCCTTACAGCCACAATCCTTTCTACTACCTTAGAGCAAACATTTAAGATGCTAATAGGCCGAAGATCATTTAGTCCTGAGGGGTTACTGCATTTAGGGATGGGAGACACTAAGGCAGTCTTCCATTGATCAGGAAAGACACCCAGCTCCAGACAAAAATTGACAATATGGCACAAATACGGAACAATCACAGGGCAGCACAGAAGTAACATCCTTACGCTAATGCCATCACTTCCAACTGCATTGGTTTTAATAGATTGCAGCGCACGATAGATTTCGTCTTCCGAGGCTAAGGAAAAGAATAATGTAGTACTAATCAAAGGCAGAATATTAGACTTTAGAATTTAATAAGCTCTGCATCACCAGAGTTAGTAATTTGAGAGGTTAAAAAAGAATTGTTAATCAAATCAGCATCACCAATGTTGCTAGCAATACTACCAGTCCTATTACCGCCAATGCTCAAAGATGGAAAGGCACCTCACAATTTCCTGGAATCACCATCCCTGAATATGTGAGATAAAAAAGCTCGTGAAATTACGCAGTTCTTTATAATAGGTAAAATCAGAGGGTAGTCTTAAGGTAAATGAGGAAAAGCAGTGGCCCCAACACTGACCCTTGGGGAATTCCAATAGAAATGCACTTTGATGTAGAACAGCTATCATCATTACAACAGACTATTTCTCTTCTGCCACCAAGGTACGATTGAATCATCTTAATACTACTGTCGCCAAAGGTATATCTGCTCAGCTTCTTTATTAATAAATTACGGTCCACACAATAAAAAGCCTTGCTGAAGTTGCAGAACGTAGTTGTCATATACTTGCCTTTCTCATAACAGTCTGTTGCTTGTTGTACAAAATCCATAATTGCGTTTCCTGTGCTACGATTCTGACGAAATCCGTATTGACATGACGCGAACAAGTTATTATTTTCAAAGAAATCGACAATTCTATTCTTTATGATAGTTACAAAATTTTTGAAAATACAGGCAGAAGTGAGATTCGTCGATAATTTTCTATTGCAAGAGGATAGCGTTTCTTGAAGACAAGAGTTACCAATGCTAACTTTAAAGCATTTCGAAAAATATTTTCTCTCATGCAATGGTTGATTAATTTTGTTAAAGGCGATGATATTATTACATCTTTTATCAGCTTTAATATTACAGCGTTTAATCCGTATAAATTCCTAGAAGACTTATTTTTGAAAGAACAGATTGTATCACGAACCTCAATTAAACCGACCGAACCGGTTCCAGGCAGAATTTCCCAGGTGATACAGTGACATTTGATAGCAGCTGATTAAACTGATTGAATTTAATTAATAAGATCTAGGGGAACATTTATAAAGTAATCATTTACTTCTTTTGGGTCAAACAT